GAACCTGTTCTCAAAAAACTCTGTTTTCGCCACCACCCAAAACGCCGACTCCATGTGGACGAAAGGCCAAAATGAACACAAACTTCTCCATTTTGACCAAAAAAACTTTGTTGTGTGGACGACCCCTGACTGACTTCAGCCCCTCAGGTTCTGACTGACAGTACATTTATGTACACGGTTTAAACTAACCAACAAGTGAAGAAAACATCCCCCTGAGTGACCAGTGTCTCTCTTCAGTCCCACAGGAGCTGAGTGTGTCTCTGGTCCAGCAGCTCTTCTCCCGCTGTGAAAAAGAGCAGAACTGCACCGTGACAGTAGCTCTGGAAACTTGCTTTACTTTGTTGCTGATATTGAATAAGGATCATAAATGTTTGATACGACTGCAGTGAAACCCTCGCCCTCCTCCCCGTCGGCGCACAGAGCAGGACTCTTCTTCAGGACGATTACCAACACCGTTTCATTTTGCTAAGTAGCCGCCTCAGGAGGAGCACTGCTTTAGATTTCATAAGAGCCATAAATTAGTGTCTGCAGCACTCAGAGAGATCAGAGAGCTACAACAGGGCGGTAAACACGCTCCCACACACTTTATACAGAATGTACACGGTGTACAGAGTCTATACAGGCCGTACACAGGCACAAACACCACATATACTGGATACAGGCCCATATGTTTATACACATCTGCAGGAGGCACGTCAGAGTCACATTCTCATCATTCACTGAACTGATGTCATCAATATTCACTGAGTGCACTGCTCTGAGAAACTATTGGACTTTAATCTTTGTTTTACCACAATTTAACCAGAAAGATCTGACTTAACTTCAACGACAACAGCAGATTTTTACTGTTAAACATCACAGGCTCCTGAAAATGTGCAGTTTTTCTTAAGTTTCAGACGATCTTCTTCCACCGTAGAGAAAACGTCAGTATTATTTGGCTACAAAATCTTAGTTGGTAAAAGTCTAAATAAAAACGTCACATTGTTTTCAGATGAAGTACTTGTGTGACTGTAGACCAGCTGAACCTTAAATATTGAAAAGTATCTTTAAAGGTGCATTATGAACACTTTTCTGTTCATCTCCATAGAGACGTTATTGCCTTTAATGTTCCACAGAGGCATTAAACATGTTCATCATCATTCATTTCATCATTTTATATCTGTTTTGGGAGTAACGTTTTATAAAAGTAACAAATTACTGTAATGTGTTGCTTTTTGCTGTAACGCAGTAATGTGGTGTTTCAGTACAGGTGCGAGGATGGGCGACTTTTTCATCCACAACCGCATCACAAAACTCGTCATCCGCCCGCTGTCCATTTGCGACCACAGTTTTTGACCAGTTTTCAAAACCGCACCCTCCCGCCGTCCGCTCGCTCTCCTCCCAGCTGCTCCGAGTTCATAGTTTTTTATTTGAGTAGTGAAACCTCCACCCGCCCGAATTTAATTAAAATATTATTTTTCCTCACGTCATCCGCCCGACCCGAGGTTTAGCCGTGGAGTCCGCGGTTGTAACCTTACAGGGAAATTTTTTTATATTTTACTCAGTACAAATGTGAGTAACGTGCATCACATTTGTTTTTTTTAACCTAGATTGAAGTGGTGGGTTTTTCTTCATACGAAATTACCGCAATATCAGCAGAATATGAAACGCCGGAGACGCGCCCTCGTAGACCGTCGGGTGACCGTGAGAGAAAAGACCGGCGCAGAACTCCACGCTCCACGAGGCGAAACGCAGCTGACGCCCGATAGCGCCTTGCAGACACCCTGATCCACGGGCTCGGGGTTCTCTCAGGGGCGGGCTTAGATTCCAAGTTGTAGTCCAAGATTAGACCTGGTTTAGTCCTGCTTCTCTTCTGGTTTAGTCCTGGTTTAGACCTAGTTTAGACCTGGTTCAGTCCTAGTTCAGCTCTGGTTTAGTCCTAGTTTAGACCTGGTTTAGTCCTAGGGTCAGTCTTGGTTTAGTCCCGGTCTGGTCTTGGTCTCAGTCCTGATCACTCAGTCCTTGTTCAGTTCTGATGTAGTCCTGGTTTAGTCCTGGTTCCTGGTTCAGTCTTTCATTGCAGTTTAAGTCACGGAAACAGGAAATGGCCATTATCTGTTTTTTTTGTTTTTTTTTTTTTTCCTTTTTTCATTTAAACACAAAATCAAAAACAGAAAAAAAAACTCATCTTTATCCTTTTTTTTTTTTTTGGAAACAAATAATGAAGAAAATAGTTGTTTCTTTTTAATTTTCTTATTTTTAGTTTTATTTTGAAACACGACTGAATGAATGACACATGGATTGTGCACTTCACTGAGTTTTTATTCTTGATTTTTTAAAATCTCTCTACCATTGTCGTGTTCTTGTTGTCATTTAGAAAGTTTTGGCCTGGAAGTAAACAAAAGTGTGGAAAAACACGTCAACGTTTTCAGTCAGATCTTGATGTTTTAGAGAAACGTCGTCCGCGCTTTAAGATCCTGATGAGGCTCCCTCCTGACGCCGCCTGTTTACAGCGAAGCCGGTGGTGTATTTTTAAACCGCACCGAGGTTGGCTCAAGACACGGCCGGTCCTCCCACTCAGCTGCACCCACGGCCTCGGAAAAACCATCGCAAGACGCCATCTCCTTCATCAGAGCGGAGCCGAGCGCCGAGAGGCCGTTACCATGCCAACGCCCGTGTCCCGCGCACAATCACCAACAATGAATTTCAATCAAACAGTGAATAGTGATTTTGGAATCAGACAAAACGGGTTGACGCAGGAGACGGTGATAATTTTGTTGGTAAAATTCTAAATGTTTTCAGAATTTCGGCTCGTTCTGGCTTAATATTAGTGGTTTTACTGAAGCGTGAAATAAGACGAGTAACTGTCGACAAAACCTTAAATAAGTCAGAAAAGCAGGTATTTTCAAAGAACAGACACAAAAAGGAGACAAACTAAATCAGATCTGAAGGAACTGCAAGAAACACAAATGTTCGAATCATTTCATCTGCAGCCTGAAGAGACCCAAATCCGACTTACTCCTGTATCTGATCTTTTAATGACGACACAGTCTGAACGACACAGATAGGGTTGCCAACTTTCCCGAATTGCCTGGGACATCCCGAATTTTATGTGAATTTGATTTGTCACGGACAGGACAGATCCAGTCCCGTATTTCGATCACAGCCTCAAGGTCCGTTCAGACTGCGGCGTCAAAAAAACGGCCACGATGTGCGTCTGGAAAAGTGGCAAGTGTCTTTTCCCGGAACGATGGACCAGGCTTTTGTGCAGCAGTTTTTAATAGGTGAGGTCCGCCTCCCCTGGGAAGTGCCAAAGAGCCGCTGGGGAGGCGCGGCACTAACCCAGGACTCATACCAGGACTGAAGCAGGAGGACTAAACCAGGACCTAAACTAGAACTGAACCAGGACTGAATCAGGACTGAATCAGGACTGAATCAGGACTGAATCAGGACAGGCCTGGAGCTGCGCCCGCACAGACAGTTGGGTGATCGCAGGTGAACGGACCGGCGCAGTGCAGCAGTCACCCGATCATCTCGCTCTCTCTCTCAAGTCCTAGATTAGTCCTGGTTTAGTCCTGGTTTAGACCTGGTTTAGACCTGGTTTAGTCTTGTTTTAGACCTGGGCTAATCCTGGTTTAGTCCTAGTTTAGACCTGGGTTAGTCCTGGTCTAGTCCTGGTTTAGACCTGGTTTAGTCCTGGTTTAGACCTGGTTTAGTCCTGGTTTAGACCTGGTTTAATCCTGGTTCAGACTGGTTTAGTCCTGGTTTAGACCTGGTTTAGTCCTGGTTTAGACCTGGTTTAATCCTGGTTCAGACCTGGTTTAGTCCTGGTTTAGACCTGGTTTAGTCCTGGTTTAGACCTGGTTTAGTCCTGGTTTAGACCTGGTTTAATCCTGGTTAGACCTGGTTTTGACCTGGTTTAGTTTTCCTGGTTTAGACCTGGTTTAGACCTGGTTTAATCCTGGTTTAGACCTGGTTTAGTCCTGGTTTAGACCTGGTTTAGTCCTGGTTTAGACCTGGTTTAATCCTGGTTTAGACCTGGTTTAGTCCTGGTTTAGACCTGGTTTATCCTGGTTTAGACCTGGTTTAGTCCTGGTTTAGACCTGGTTTAGTCCTGGTTTAGACCTGGTTTAGACCTGGTTTAGACCTGGTTTAATCCTGGTTTAGACCTGGTTTAGACCTGGTTTAGACCTGGTTTAGACCTGGTTTAATCCTGGTTTAGACCTGGTTTAGACCTGGTTTAGACCTGGTTTAGTCCTGGTTTAGACCTGGTTTAATCCTGGTTTAGACCTGGTTTAGACCTGGTTTAGACCTGGTTTAATCCTGGTTTAGACCTGGTTTAGACCTGGTTTAGTCCTGGTTTAGACCTGGTTTAATCCTGGTTTAGACCTGGTTTAGACCTGGTTTAGACCTGGTTTAGTCCTGGTTTAGACCTGGTTTAATCCTGGTTTAGACCTGGTTTAGACCTGGTTTAGACCTGGTTTAATCTGGTTTAGACCTGGTTTAGTCCTGGTTTAGACCTGGTTTAATCCTGGTTTAGACCTGGTTTAGACCTGGTTTAGTCCTGGTTTAGACCTGGTTTAGACCTGGTCTAGTCCTGGTGACCTGCTGTTGTTCAGTGATGTTAAAAGTCGCCTGCATGGAGTTGGAAATTATTTGCTGTTTCAAAAATTGTTCATGAATGTACTTTTTTAAATATTAAAAACATATATGATCAGTTTTTATTGAACTCAAAAGATGCATTTACTTCAAAGGTGTGTGTGTGTGTGTGTGTGTGTGTGTGTGTGTGTGTGTGTGTGTGCGTGTGTGTGTGTGTGTGTGTGTGTGTGTGTGTGTGTGTGTGTAGAGAAACACCAGACTCTTCTAACTTTCATTTGGATTTGCTGTTTGCCTTTTAATCTTTAAATAGCACTGGATATTTTATCTGCATTTCCATAACTGCCTTTTCCCTTTTTATTAAATGTTTTTAACAGAGCCATAATTGTTCATACATTTTGGTAAATTTACCTCTAGCCTCAGTCCAGTTCATCCTACACACAGTTATTGGATTATGTGTGGACTGTTTCAAACTTTATTGAACACAAAACAAATATAATGTGCATTGTTTATTTATTTCAAATTAAAGAATCAGAAAATGACTAAAAGTAGTGAAATTGTCCATGCAGCAAGATCATTTTACTTGACAAGTTCTCTTCAAATAAACCTCCGTCTCTGTCGATAATAAACCTGAAAACAAGAATAACCTGATATAAGTTTTTAAATCTTGACCAGATCTGAGAAATTTGCCGTGCAGGTTCATCACAAAACTACACCGAACATTACCCGCTTTTTCGATTTCACTCTGCGTCAGGGACACGACGGCCCGTCCGACCAGAGCCGGCGGAGCGGCGCACGTGACCGTCTCAGGAAGGAAAACCCGGCTCTTGTGTTTGTTCATCCACCCCCACAGATACCGGATCTTCCCGTCGCAGGACCACGGATTTCCCGCCAGGTCGAGCCCCTCCTCGTCCAGCGACACCAGCCCGTCCAACGAGCCCGGCGCCACCGTCTGCAGCTGGTTCTCCTCCAGGTTCAAATGCCGGAGACGCGTCAAGTTCATGAACAAACCCTGCGGAAGTTTCTGAAGCCTATTCCGAGATAAAAAGAGATGCGTCAAGTTTAGATTATTCTGGAAAACCGTTTCATCCAGAGCGTCAATCTTGTTGTTGTCCAAGTTCAGACGTTCCAACTTGGCGAGCGCGTCCAGGGAGTTTCCGCGATCTTCTCCAAGCGGTTGTTCGGGAGATCGAGATTGTCCAGGTTGGGGAGTTTGCGAAACAAGCTCGCCGGGATTTTCGCCAAACGGTTCCCGGATAAATCCAGCCACGTCAACGCGCCGTTTTCCGACAACCAGTCCTCGCCGACGGTTTCGATCTGGTTGTTCTTCAGGACCAGGGTTTCCAGAGGAGCGTGGCTGAAGACGTCGGCGGGTAAGATGGCGAGTTTGTTGTCGGTGAGGTCCAGGGTTCGGAGTTTGGGGAGTCCTCGGAGAAGGTGCGGGCTCAGGTTTCGGATTCGGTTGCTGAAGAGGTGGAGCTCCCGGAGGTTCGGGACGCGGCGGAGGTGGGACTCGGCGACGGCGGAGACGTTGGTGAACTGGACGGTGAGGATGGAGGTGTTGCGCGGGAGGGAGTCCGACGGGAAGGAGGCGAAGGGGGCGGAGTCGCAGACCACCTCCGCGCGGCGGGAGAAGCAGCGGCAGAGGGCGGGGCAAGAAAAACACGCCGGGAGGAGGGAACAGAAGACGAGGGGGAGGAGCCAGGCGGAGGTCACTGGAAGAGAGAAAATAAACGTGAACTTTCAGAGTCTTTTTCAAACACAAGAAGAAAACATTTGTGGATAATCCGTGTGATCATTCGTTCATTTGTTTTTCAAAATAAAAGCAAAAATAAGAAAATGAAAAAACAACAATTTTCTTCATTATTTGTCTCCAAAACCAAAATGAAAAAAACAGATAACAGACTAAACCAGGTCTAAACCAGGACTAAACCAGGTCTAAACCAGGACTAAACCAGGACTAAACCAGGACTAACAGGACTAAACCAGGACTGAACCAGGACTAAACCAGGACTAAACCAGGACTGAACCAGGACTAAACCAGGACTGAACCAGGACTAAAACAGGACTAAACCAAGACCAAACCAGGATTGAACCAGGACTAAACCAGGTCTAAACCAGGACTAAACTAGGTCTAAACAAGGACTAAACCAGGATTGAACCAGGACTAAACCAGGTCTAAACCAGGTCTAAACCAGGACTAAACCAGGACTGAACCAGGACTAAACCAGGTCTAAACCAGGTCTAAACCAGGACTAAACCAGGACTGAACCAGGACTAAACCAGGTCTAAACCAGGACTAAAACAGGACCAAACCAGGACCAAACCAGGATTGAACCAGGACTAAACCAGGTCTAAACCAGGACTAAACCAGGTCTAAACCAGGACTAAACCAGGTCTAAACAAGGACTAAACCAGGATTGAACCAGGACTAAACCAGGTCTAAACCAGGACTAAAACACGTCTAAAACAGGATTAAACTAGGACTAAACCAGGACTAAAACAGGACTAAACAAGGACCAAACCAGGACCAAAACAGGACTAAACCAGGACTGAACCAGGTCTAAACCAGGACTAAAGAAGGTCTATGCCAGGACTAATCTTGGACTTGAGACAGAGAGACGAGACAGTCGGGCCATGGCTGCGTTTAGCCCTGTGGGGCGTAGTGACACTCAGTCCTACTTCAGTCCTGGTTCAGTCCTAGTTTAGACCTGGTTTAGTCCTGGTTTAGACCTGGTTTAGTCCTGGTTTAGACCTGGTTTAGTCCTGGTTCAGTCTCTATACGGCGCAAAAGTCCGTCATCGCAGTTTAAGTCAACGGGAAATGGACGTTTTATCTGTTTTTTCCATTATTCATTTAAACACAAAATCAAAAAAAAGTGACTCTGGCTTTAAATAAAGTTTGCAAAGAAACTGGAAGGACAAAGGAGCGTTGCACCAAAAACACGTAAAATATGACACTAAAGTCAGTCAGGCTCCATGTTCCTCTGCTCTCCTCTGTTTATTAGATGTTAAATCCTGAACTCAGATTTAATGTCAAATCATTTAAATTTGTCGTGTTTTTGGCAAGACTAAACCAGGACTGAACCAGGACTGAACCAGGACTGAACCAGGACTGAACCAGGACTAAACCAGGACTAAACCAGATCTGAATCAGGACTAAACCAGGTTTAAACCAGGTCTAAACCAGGACTAAACCAGGACTAAATCAGATCTGAACCAGGACTGAACCAGGTCTAAACCAGGTCTAAACCAGGACTAAACCAGGTTTAAACCAGGACTCAACCAGGACTAACCAGGACTAAACCAGATCTGAATCAGGACTAAACCAGGTTTAAACCAGGTCTAAACCAGGACTAAACCAGGACTAAAACCAGGACCAAACCAGGACTGAACCAGGACTGAACCAGGACTAAACCAGGACTAAACCAGATCTGAATCAGGACTAAACCAGGTTTAAACCAGGTCTAAACCAGGACTAAACCAGGACTAAATCAGATCTGAACCAGGACTGAACCAGGTCTAAACCAGGTCTAAACCAGGACTAAACCAGGTTTAAACCAGGACTCAACCAGGACTAAACCAGGACTAAACCAGATCTGAATCAGGACTAAACCAGGTTTAAACCAGGTCTAAACCAGGACTAAACCAGGACTAAACCAGGACCAAACCAGGACTGAACCAGGACTGAACCAGGACTAAACCAGGACTAAAACAGATCTGAATCAGGACTAAACCAGGTTTAAACCAGGTCTAAACCAGGACTAAACCAGGACTAAACCAGATCTGAACCAGGACTGAACCAGGTCTAAACCAGGTCTAAACCAGGACTAAACCAGGTTTAAACCAGGACTCAACCAGGACTAAACCAGGACTAAATTAGGACTGACCTAAGACTAAACCAGGACTAAACCAGAACTAAACAAGGACTAAACCAGGACTGAACCAGGACTAAACTAGGACTAAACCAGGACTAAATCAGGACTAAATTAGGACTGACCTAAAACTAAACCAGGACTAAACCAGAACTAAACCAGGACTGAACCAGGACTAAATCAGGACTAAACCTGTTTATTAGATGTTAAATCCTGAACTCAGATTTAATGTCAAATCATTTAAATTTGTCGTGTGTGTTTTTGTGCAGAAGCGTCAGATCGAATTATGACCCAAATTCAGTTGTGACTCAAACCGGGGAATCACCCGTCGAGTTCTCGTTCGTTTGTACTGGTGCTTCTAACCTCTGACCTTTTACTGGTGTCACAATACCAAAACTCCTCAATGTCGACACTGATTTGATCGATTTTGACGCCACATTTATTTGAGAATTTACACGTTAAACACAAACACACGACCTCGCGACACACAGGAAGACCGTTCGAAAATAAAATAATGGATAAGAAGAGATCATTTGTCCGTGTATATTTTTATGTGTATAAACGTGTATAATTTTTGACGTCCTAAATACGGCGTAAAAACAAAAACTGATCTGTAGTCAGTTCAAACATTCACATTACGGCGAAAACAAATGTGAAATAAATCAAAAAGTTTTGTCTGCATTGATTTTAAAATAATATAATCACATAAAAAATACAAACGTTCAATCGTTTTTTTTGGCAGGACTGAACCAGGACTGAACCAGGACTAAACCAGGTCTAAACCAGGACTAAACCAGGACTAAACCAGGACTAAACCAGGACTAAACAGGACTAAACCAGGTCTAAACCAGGACTAAAACAGGTCTAAACCAGGACTAAAACAGGACTAAACCAGGACCAAACAGGACTAAACAGTCTAAAACCAGGACTAAAACAGGACTAAACCAGGTCTAAACCAGGACTAAAACAGGACTAAAACAGGACTAAACCAGGACTAAACCAGGTCTAAACCAGGATTAAACCAGGTCTAAACCAGGAGTAAAACAGGACTAAAACAGGACCAAAGCAGGACTAAACCAGGACTAAACCAGGTTTAAACCAGGACTAAACCATAATTGAACCAGGACTAAACTAGGTCTAAACCAGGACTAAAACAGGACTATACCAGAACCAAACCAGGATCAAACCAGGACCAAAGCAGGACTAAACCAGGACTAAACCAGGTTTAAACCAGGTCTAAACCAGGACTAAACCAGGATTGAACCAGGACTAAACCAGGTCTAAACCAGGACTAAAGAAGGTCTAAACCAGGACTAAAGAAGGTCTATGCCAGGACTAATCTTGGACTTGAGAGAGAGAGACGGGACAGTCGGGCCATGGCTGCGTTTAACCCCATGGGGCGTAGTGACACTCAGTCCTACTTCAGTCCTGGTTCAGTCCTGGTTCAGTCCTAGTTTAGACCTGGTTTAGACCTGGTTAAGTCCTGGTTCAGTCTCTATACGGCGCAAAAGTCCGTCATCGCAGTTTAAGTCAACGGGAAATGGACGTTTTATCTGTTTTTTCCATTATTCATTTAAACACAAAATCAAAAAAAAAAGTGACTCTGGCTTTAAATAAAGTTTGCAAAGAAACTGGAAGGACAAAGGAGAGTTGCACCAAAAACACGTAAAATATGACACTAAAGTCAGTCAGGCTCCATGTTCCTCTGCTCTCCTCTGTTTATTAGATGTTAAATCCTGAACTCAGATTTAATGTCAAATCATTTAAATTTGTCGTGTTTTTGGCAAGACTAAACCAGGACTGAACCAGGACTGAACCAGGACTGAACCAGGACTAAACCAGGACTAAACCAGATCTGAATCAGGACTAAACCAGGTTTAAACCAGGTCTAAACCAGGACTAAACCAGGACTAAATCAGATCTGAACCAGGACTGAACCAGGTCTAAACCAGGTCTAAACCAGGACTAAACCAGGTTTAAACCAGGACTCAACCAGGACTAAACCAGGACTAAACCAGATCTGAATCAGGACTAAACCAGGTTTAAACCAGGTCTAAACCAGGACTAAACCAGGACTAAACCAGGACCAAACCAGGACTGAACCAGGACTGAACCAGGACTAAACCAGGACTAAACCAGATCTGAATCAGGACTAAACCAGGTTTAAACCAGGTCTAAACCAGGACTAAACCAGGACTAAACCAGATCTGAACCAGGACTGAACCAGGTCTAAACCAGGTCTAAACCAGGACTAAACCAGGTTTAAACCAGGACTCAACCAGGACTAAACCAGGACTAAATTAGGACTGACCTAAGACTAAACCAGGACTAAACCAGAACTAAACAAGGACTAAACCAGGACTGAACCAGGACTAAACTAGGACTAAACCAGGACTAAATCAGGACTAAATTAGGACTGACCTAAAACTAAACCAGGACTAAACCAGAACTAAACAAGGACTAAACCAGGACTGAACCAGGACTAAACTAGGACTAAACCAGGACTAAACCTAAATTAGGACTGACCTAAAACTAAACCAGGACTAAATTAGGACTGACCTAAGACTAAACCAGGACTAAACCAGAACTAAACAAGGACTAAACCAGGACTGAACCAGGACTGAACCAGGACTAAACTAGGACTAAACCAGGACTAAATCAGGACTAAACCTGTTTATTAGATGTTAAATCCTGAACTCAGATTTAATGTCAAATCATTTAAATTTGTCGCGTGTGTTTTTGTGCAGAAGCGTCAGATCGAATTATGACCCAAATTCAGTTGTGACTCAAACCGGGGAATTAAACGTCCAGTTCTCGTTCGTTTGTACTGGTGCTTCTAACCTCTGACCTTTTACTGGTGTCACAATACGAAAACTCCTCAATGTCGACACTGATTTGATCGATTTTGACGCCACATTTATTTGAGAATTTACACGTTAAACACAAACACACGACCTCGCGACACAACAGGAAGACCGTTCGAAAATAAAATAATGGATAAGAAGAGATTATTTGTCCGTGTATATTTTTATGTGTATAATTTTTGACGTCCTAAATACGGCGTAAAAACAAAAACTGATCTGTAGTCAGTTCAAACATTCACATTACGGCGAAAACAAATGTGAAATAAATCAAAAAGTGTTTTAAAAATAATATAATCACATAAAAAATACAAACGTTCAATCGTTTTTTTTGGCAGGACTGAACCAGGACTGAACCAGGTCTAAACCAGGACTAAACCAGGACTAAACCAGGACTAAAACAGGTCTAAAACCAGGACTAAACCAGGACTAAACCAGGAACTAAACCAGGTCTAAACCAGGACTAAAACCAGGTCTAAAAACAGGATTAAAACTAGGACTAAACCAGGACTAAAACAGGACTAAACCAGGACCAAACCAGGATCAAACCAGGGCAAAGCAGGACTAAACCAGGACTAAACCAGGACCAAACCAGGACCAAACCAGGTCTAAACCAGGACTAAAACCAGGACTAAACCAGACTAAACCAGGACTAAACCAGGACTAAACCAGGACTGAACCAGGTCTAAACCAGGTCTAAACCAGGACTAAACCAGGTCTAAACCAGGACTAAACCAGGACTAATCTTGGACTTGAGAGAGAGAGAGACGGGACCCCAAACCTTTCTCCTGTGGGCACCGGGTCCGTCCCAACACTCAGTCCTGGTTCAGTCCTGGTTCAGTCCTGAGTTAGTCCTGAGTTAGTCCTGTTTTAGTCCTAGTTCAGCCCTGGTTTAGTCCTGGTTCAGTCTTGGTTTGGTCCGTAAACCTCTTCATACAAACATGACCTTAAAATTCTACTAACAAATCCAACCCTTTAACCTTTTTAAAACGTACAAAAATCAGACTCACTGTTGTCGAGGTTCTGGCTCTGCTCTTCTTCTCCTGATGAAAACCAACGTCCTTTTAATGATCCAGAGTCCAGAGTCGACACTTTTTGCCCAATTTGTCCCGTTTTGCCCAATGTATTTACTTAAACCTGCTCCACCGGCCCAACGCTCTTATGTAATCGTCCACAGAGGAAGAGGACGAGACAACAAATCTACTCAAGTAAAAGTATTTTTCAGATTATAAGACTCACTTAAAATCCTTAATTTTTTTCAAAAATCGACAGTGCGACTTATGGATTAATTCTGGTTGTGTTTACTGACCTCGAACACGCTGCTCAAAAATCTGTCAAAATGTTTTAGTTTGACTTCGTTCGTTCATTCGTTTTTTCAAAATAACAGTTTTCTTCATTATTTGTCTCCAAAACTAAAATGAAAAAACAGATAATGATTCGTTTTTTTTCAGTTTTCAATTTTGTGTTTAAATGAAAAATGGAAAAAACGGATAACGACCGTTTCCCGTTTAACTTTCGTGACTGATGTCGGACTTTTGCACCACATACGGACTGAACCAGGACTGATCCAGGTCCGGGACCAGACCGAGACTAAAGACCGAGACTGAGACCAGGACCAGACCGGGACTAAGACCGAGACTGAGACCAGGACCAGACCGGGACTGAGACCAGGACCAAGACCGGGGAGACCGAGACCGGGACCAGACCAGGACTGAGGCTGGGACCGAACCGGGACTGAGACCGGGACCGAGACCGGGACCGAGACCGGGACCAGACCGGGACCAAGACCAGGACCCAGACCGGGACCGAGACCGGGATCAGACCGGGACCAGAGTGGGGCTTAGACTGGGACCAGACTGGTACCAGGACCAGACCAGGACTGAGACCAGGACTGAGGCTGGGACCGAACCGGGACTGAGACCGGGACCAAGACCGGGACCGAGACCGGGACCGAGACCGGGACCGAGACCGGGACCAGACCACCGGGACCGAGACCGGGACCGAGACCAGGATCAGACTGGGACCAGAGTAGGGCTTAGACTGGGACCAGACTGGTACCAGGACCAGACCGGGACTGAGACCGGGACTGAGACCAGGACCAGAGCGGGACTGGGACCAGACCGAGACCAAACCGGGACTGAGACCGGGACTCAGATTTCTGTTTCTGTGTTTTTTGTTTGTGGGTTTTTTTTTTCAGATTTGGTTCTGCTGCTCAGGTGCTGCAAGGTTTTATCTTTATTTTGTACATTTTACACATTTTTGCACTTTTATCATGTTAACCCTCTGCTTGGCTCTTTTGAATCAATTATTTGACATTTCTTCTTGCCCCTTTTAATCTTCAATAAATTTTAATTATACATTTTAAGCCACGTCTCTGTCCTTTTTATTTTACATTTTTACCTGTTGGTCATTTTTGGTAAATAAAAGTGTATCTAAGGTCACAGCATGTTTCGATTTATTGTGTTTTTTTGGTGGATCTTTTTTTTTTTTTTTTTTTTTTTTAGTTTTTAGTTCAGCCGCTCGACCTGTAGCTGAGGAAAAGATCACATCTCCTCCAAACCTGTGGAGCCGCCAATTAACACGTCTGTGTGGAGGAGAAGAGGAAGGACGACTGACAAAGAAACTGGAAAAAGTTCACAGTCCAGTAGCCAGATTTATCCATGAGGAAACTGTAGAATCAGTGAACTCTTATAAACAGGCGAGTTTCATTGTTGACAAAAGCGAGCGTTGCATGCTGGGAATTACTTTGGTCGGCGGCAAGAAACACTAATTCAACATGACGGACGGAGCGAGAAAGCACGTAAAGGGTATTGATCCTGGTTATTTATCCACTCTAACAGCAGACGACCCAAGACCATTTGACCAGAAATTGGTCATAAGCATCGACGGACGACAAATCACCCTTTTCAACCCCGACAAAAGGTGGAACAAACTAGGGATGGGCATGATTAATCAATTAATGGATAATTGATCATTAAGAATTTCATCGATTACGTTCATTTTAATCGACAAACCGAATGTATGTTTGTGTGTATCGTGACCAAACAGGTGTGTACATGTGTCTCTGCATCAGAAGGAGCGAGACACAAACAGTGGGTCAGTCTGTAACGAACCGAAGCACAAATGTGGATTTAACCAGGATTTGTACAAGAAATTCCACACTTTCCGTTGCGTTGGGACAAGTGTGAGTCCATGTGCACAGTGGATAAAGCAGCACATATGTTTCTGTGTCCAGTGGGAAAAAGTTTTTCCAGGTGAGAGTCGCTCAATGTGGATGACGAGGCCCCGCCCCCCTCCCCCCGTACGCTGTCCTGGTTTTGACAAACACAAATCTGGTCACACTGACCTGTATTCACCTGAGTCATGTCTTTTAATCCAACACAAGTTGAACCACATCAGCGACACAAGAGCTGGAGTTTTATCTTCACTTAGTTTATGCAAATTAGTGATGAGGTTTTAAGTTTTGTTTCTGTGAGATTTGAACAAAACTGAATTAAACACATTATAATGTCAAACAGCTGATGTGGATCTAGAGTCGTTATGTTTATATGTCGTAAAGTTGAATTTATTTATGCAGATTAGTGCAGATAGTAATAATAATGATGATCATTTTAATATAAAAACGTTAATGATTAATCGATAATCGATCGTTAATTCTTCCGACGATCGATGAAGAAAATTTCATCGAATGCCCGTCCCTGGACCAAACCAAATTTCTGGTCAGAATCGCCAACTACCTGGACAAATATTCACTTGGGCGACATCCACAATGACTTGGTGGAAACTCCTGGGCCATTCACAGCAGAAAAGATGAAAACCTCCAAGAGTCTCGATGTGTTGTTGAACTTGTTGAGTCCACGGTTTGTTAGGATCTTCTACGTTTGCTCTGCGGATGTTTGAAAAGCGTTTAATTCATATTACTTGCAAGTGAAATTTACTCAAATCAGGATAAACTTTCTTAATTCAAGTAATTTAAACTTGGCTAGATTTTAGTTTGTACGTTTTAGTTTTTTCATATATTTTAAATTCCTGCATCCACAAGCTTCCAGTGACTGAAAGTAGCTTTGGACAGTTTGTCACATTAAAGTAGCAAGAGAGTCCAGTGTTCACACAAATATCTGGGTGATCCGAACTCAACATTTTGTGTTAGCCAACTTAACTGCAAATTAATTATCTTAGCATGAGTGGTGAAACATCAGCAAAGTAAAAGTAGTAAAGTACTTTTCTTAAGTATAAATGTTCTGTTACCTGTACTTTACTTAAGTACATTTTAAAGTGGACTTTTTACTTTTACTTCACTACATTTGAGAACAGGTATCTATATTTTCTACTCCACTTTTTGAGCTGGACTGAAAAGAAAAAGCCTAAAGACACATTCATAATTGGAGCAAACAAAAATATAAAAAGGAAAACAGCTTGGAAAAAAAAATATATGTTTTTAATCTATATATTTTATTAATCTGTACCAAAATCACTACAACTGAAGCTTTTTTAGATACATTTTAGATACTACTAAATACTTTCACTTTTTACTCTTTAAGTAATTTTTTTTTTCCATGAGATACTTTTACTTTTACTTGAGTATTTTGTTTGCTCCATTATCTACTTTAACTTAAGTAACCATATGGAGTAGTTCTCAGTGCTCAGCATGTTGCACTGAATGGGGATTAACCAATTAGTGGTTCTTTTCACTCAGAATACGAAAAAGACATTTTCCTTCTTCTGTGCTTCTATTTGTGCGTCCGATAATGCAGCAGGAATTTATCATTATCAGGGATAAATACGCGAGGTTACGCACTGTGTTTGACGCTACCGTGTTTCTTTCCTCCGACCAAAATATTTCCCAGCAGCAACGCGGGTTTTAATAACAATGACGTCAGCTGAAACTCGCCTGTAGTCGGGGACTGTGTTTGATTTGATAAGAACTCAAACTCAGCTCTTTCAATGTGATTTATTTTTTTTTATTTGTTGGTTTTCTGGGTTCTCTGTGAAAGGACAGGCTGGACCAGAGAGTAAAAGTGTGTGACAAAATCAGTGGAGTTCAGGTGGAGGATTTGGGAGGCGCTGTGTCTCCCCACAACCAAATCTTTTATTCCTTCTGCCATAAAACTTTTAAATGGAAAGTAAAGTTGCGTTTGTGTCCCTGATGCACTGAGGTTTGAATGTTCGACGTGTGTTGTATGTGTTGTATTTTTATTTTATTTATTTATGGATTGTGCGTGACCAGAGATGTATGAACTGAATTGGTTTTTGGGATTAATAAAGTTGTTGATTGATTGATTGACTGAGGTGAAGTAAGAGCAGAGAGGCCTGTGGCTCCAGGGTGGTGGGGTCGTGGATGGTGCTGGTCTCTCAGACGTCTCGCTGGTGTGGGAGTGATGACTCCTGTGAGGACGAGGAGGTGCCTCGTGGATGAAGAAGCAAGAAGTTCCCGATGGAGAAGCAGGTGCCCCATGGACAAAGACATGCCCTATGTTTGAGGAGGTGCCCCCCATGGACGAGGAGGTGCCCCTATGGATGAAGAGGTGCCATGGACAAGAAGGTGCCCCCCCATGGATGAGGAGGTGCCCCGATGAACTAGGAGGTGTCATGGACGACAAGGTGTCACGGATGAGGAGGTGCTACATGGACAAAGAGGTGCCCCCATGGACGAGGAGGTGCCCCCATGGTCCAAGAGGTCGCCTCATGGATGAGGAGGTGCCATGAACGAGAAAATGCCCCATGGTCGAAGAGGTGCCCCCATAGACGAGGAGGTGCCCCCATGGTCGAGGAGGTGCAATGAACGAGAAGATGATCCAAGTACAAGGAGGTGTCCCCATGAACGAGGAGGTGCCCCATGGACGAGGAGGTGCCCCAATGGACGAGGAGGTGCCCATGGACGAGGAGGTGCCCCATGGACGAGGAGGTGCCCCATGAACGAGGAGGTGCCCCAATGGACGAGGAGGTGCCCCAATGGACGAGGAGGTGCCCCAATGGACGAGGAGGTGCCCCATGAACGAGGAGGTGCCCCATGAACGAGGAGGTGCCCCATGAACGAGGAGGTGCCCCCATGAACGAGGAGGTGCCCCAATGGACGAGGAGGTGCCCCATGAACGAGGAGGTGCCCCATGA